CCGATCACTAATTCCCATACCGAAGGGGTTATCCGGCCAACCCCGGCCGGGCAGCTCTAATGGTGTCAAGCACTTGGGCCCAACCCGCAGTGGAAAGGCTAGTCCAGCCGTGGTGCTGGGCTGGGCTGAGCAGTGAGACTGAATCTATGGGCCGAACAGATGATAGGCCGAGCCCATACAAAGATACCCGAATGGACCAGTCCATCTCCATGACTGATCCTATAAAAGGCCGAGACAAGGCATAATGATGCCGAGTTGAGGAACATCGGTATCGAGCTGAGGAAACCACGCAAGGAAACGTGGAAATTGTGAACGTGTGCACGTGCGAGTTGCCACCTCAGCTGGTCCCCTACACCTAGAATCACGGAAGTTGTTGAACCAAAGGAATGTGATTTGTTATCAGCATGATTACAATGAGTATATGCATTCAATGGCAACTATCAGGTGGTCCCCTACCATGAGCAATGCTAAAAGGACACCTGGCAGCATCCAAGCTCCATGAACTCATCTTGAGAAGCAAGCAAGGAACACTATATGTACAACATGAACTTCACATTGAAGGTAACTGAACAATTCCAAGTACATCTATAAGCTAAACTCGATATACATTCTCTCTCCGATCACTAATTCCCATACCGAAGGGGTTATCCGGCCAACCCCGACCGGGCAGCTCTAATGGTGCTTCTTGTGGCAGGAATCTCAGTTCCTGGATAGTCTAACCGAGTGTGGAGCCCCGATCCACTTTCATCTAGTGCGGAATCCGGTATGCACAGACATAAAAATAGTTTATTTCAATATTTTAACCAGTAATAAACTAAAGTTGGAGTACTGTATCTGCCTCTAGATTAAATTATAATTTTTCTTAATAAAAATAAGAAACAATTAAAGAAATAACAATTGATGCTAACTTGTTCCAGTGCACAATGCTCATCATATGAAATTCTACCACAAAATTATATAAATTAAACACAAATTTTCGTAAATTCATTTTTATGAATAGACTTACACTAAATTTTATGTTCAACTTACAAATTTTTATAAAATCACTTATATAAATTTATGAAAACTTATATAATTTTATAATAAAATTATATATGTATTACATACCAAATAATTTCCTCTTTAAAAATAACTTGAATACAAACGCGAATCTCATTTCCCATGTCCGCTTGTTTTTCTGTTGCAATTTATCACTTAATCACATAATTAGTCAAATATAATATAAAGATTATTTAAAATTAAAAAATAAAAACAAAAACAAAACAGAGGATAGAGGATGGGAATAGATAATTCGTGTGCTCTGGACAATCACGCGTTGAGTACGGCATAACCAATAATTAAGCTGTAGTCTAGACCAATAATTAATGAAGTTTTTTTTGTGACATAATTAAATACAGATTAATACAAGAGGTGCATGATAATCGAAGTCTATATGAATAGTAAGTGTATTCACCGTTCGGTTTTGAACGGTTTGTGAATTGATTTGGACCTATCTACATATATGTAGTTTAGAAAAAATTCAACCAACAACTGCCCGCAGTGCAGGTTGTGGTTTGTGCAAATAAGGTTCACGAATGCGCAGACAGTTTACGTATTGGAATTTTTTAAATTTTCATATTCAATTTCAATTTCTAAACTCTATATAATATAAGATTGATTTCAATTTCAAAAATAATTAATAGATTCAATTTTCCTTCCATGAAGAAGTAGAAGAGCAAACAAATACAATGTTCTCAAATAATGTTCTTTATAACATTTTTTTTTTGTATCATGAAATTAGGATTTCATGTGTTGGCTAAAAATATCTAGGATATGATGAATGAAATTAATGGTCCAAATTTTTTATATATAAAAAAAAAAATTTAAGTGCGGGTAGGTTCTTGCAGGTGCGGATTAAACCCACAACCCGTCCCGCAACCTGCAATTATGTTATATTTTAAATCACATCCGCCTACATTATGTCTATAAAATCACCTATTTGTATGCAGATCGATTCAAATTAAACAGATTATATGGTTCGAATAACTCTATGCCTAGCACTAATGATTAAGATACTAACAAATGATATATGGGATTAGGTTATGAGCCGTTTGAGCAAAAGGAACTCATAGCTTTTGGTTCTATTAAAATATAGAACATGATTACCTCTAGTTTATAATTTGAAATGGAGAATGGCTCACGAGGTTGGTTATAGATTTTATTTTGACAATTTGAGCATTTTATTTTGTTGAGAATTTCGTATAATTATCTACACACAAAATTAGATTCACATAATAATTGCAACCTACTCCATTAGAAAAGTTTATGGCCATTTATAGAAATAGTATAAACATGGCAAATTTACAACTTTTTTTTTTTATTTTGTTTTTGATAAAGCAAACTGAATGCCAACTCAACGCACTCGTTGGTTTTATAGCTGCTTATGATTGTATTAAGAGATTTGAAAAGAGATTTAAAAAAAAAAAAAAAAAGTATGTAAAATTAAATGAAATATAGATATATTTTATTCATATTTCATCAATTCTTTTCATTTTTCTTCTCAACTCCTTCCTCAAATCCTCCTAACCAAAAACAGTATAAAAGAATTTTTAAACCACAAAGACTTTTAGTTGATGAATTTTAATTAGGATAATTTTATTTGTATACTATTTATGTCATTTGGATATGAATTTTTAAACTAAAATCAAATATTTAGATATAAATTTATAAATAAAAAATAGTTGAACGAAATATATATTTAAACAATTTATTAATATTCATAAATTTATATCTAAATATTTGACTTTTATTAAAAATTTACATCTAAACCACATAGATAATGTTTACATCTAAATAGGATTTTCTGTAATAAGCTAATATAATTCCCCTTCTAATAATCTCAAGGATCAGTACTCGGGAAATTCTATTTTCGTACATCTACTTATTTTTATGCATATTATTTCTCAGTGCACATCTTTATGAACTTGATTAATTATTATTTGTCTCATTTCACATACCACATATTTCAATTATAACTCTTAATTCAAATATTGTACACACTTTCCACAGTCCACCCAAACACACACCCACACACACTTATCAACAAAGAAAGCTTTTTCTGAGTTAATCTTCTCCTCTGATACATTTCTCTGTTGGTTGAACCCCTAGTGAATTCCTCCACTACTAAACTAAGCAATTGAATGTAAACATACTTTCCTTCAGTCTCTGCTTCAGGAACCGAATCAGAGGAACCGAGGCTCTATTAAATTTTTAATACTCTATTAAATATTAATCTTGATTGATGTAAATTGTTGCTCATAATGCTCTGTTAATGCTGATTCCTAGAAAATTAACATTGTATCATTGTCTTTGTTTACAAAATTCATAATTTTAGAAAAATGAGTTCAAGAAGTTTAGGTTTAATGATTGGAAGTTCTTAGCTTAACAGAATTTGTAAAAATTTTAAAATATTTATTTTTTTAACAGTGGATTTATTTGTTGTTGGTGGTGGTAGGGAGGGAGAGAGAAGAGATGAGATGGGTTGGTTAGGATTTTGATGTCCATTATGGTTATTTTATTTTAGAGTATAATTGTCATTATAATAAAATTTCATTAAGTGTGTATACTGAGATAAATAAGTGTGAAAAAATAGAATTTCCCTCAACACTCCCATGCTGATTTTCCAATTTTGGCCATTTGGTAAGAAGTATTCGGACATTTTCCTAAACCATTTGTCTATCTTCATTAAGCTGATTTAAACCATTTGTCTATCTTCATTAAGAAGTATGCTGATTTAAACCATTTGTCTATCTTCATTAAGTAAAATTAATGAAAAAATAAATATTTTAGTCATTAAACTTAATGAAAAATATATTTAAGATATTTTATGAATGTTTACATCAAGTTTAATAATTAAAATACTATTTTTTTTTATCGATTTTACTTAACAAAAATAGACAAATGATTTAAATTAAAAAGAATTTAAAAAATAAGTGTTTAAATTAATAAAATTAAAAATTCATAATTTATTTTGTTATAAGGTTTAAATTTTGAGAATTTTTTTTTTTTTTTTTTTTTTTATGTAATTATCCCTATTTAAAATTGAAGACAATGGAGATAGGATGGTAGTGCCGGAGACAACATTAGTCAGACTGGAATTCTGTTACATTTGGAAAATGTTTCCCACACTTAATGAGTAGAAACCTATTTTGAATCCAATTTAGTTTATTTTACAGAAGACATTTTCAATTAACTCTCTTATTGTACGTATCAAACACCAAAATAATAACAATAATAATAATAAAAATGCAGATCTAGTAAGTAAATGGAATTAAGATCCGTGATGAAACTGTATGGCCAGTTAAACCAATATCATTGTGACAAAGCTATAATAAGCTGTGTTAATTGACCCAGTAGTACTACACTACATGTCAAGAATATCTCCATCTTTCCAATCTGTCATACACAGTCATCCTCAATTACTTACTAATTTTATGCTAATATTACTGTTTCAACTCATCCTAATTGTCTTGTCTTTGCATAAAAAATTAGACATCGACAGCTTCAAAATACAGTGATTGGCTTGACTGGTTAATTGGGTTAGTGAAACAGTTGCAAATACAGTATTGAAATTATTAAATATGAAGGTTAATCAATTTCTACTACCTAAGACCGTTCACCATAATTCTGTAATGGTGGGGCATTAATTTGACAATGCTAAAGTCCCATATGGTAGGGGTAAGAAAATCAACATAATTAACATTTTGAATATCATTTCCTTTTTTTTTTTGCTTTTTTTTTGCTTTTTTTTTACTGATTAGTTGGCTTAGTAGATAAGATAATGCTAAGTGTACAGTATTAAAACACACAAAAAACACATAAAAAGTATTGTGCAATTGAAATATTATTTTAAGTACCCCCTCCAAAACAAAAAAACAAATTTAAATACAATGAGAAAAGGTGAGGAGAGTCAAATTTCAAAAAAATAAAATAAAAAAATTGAAGACTGAAATATGATTAGAAGTTCCTAAGAAGCCAAACCCCACTTCCATGATGTTTACACACGGAGAGGGCAACAGACAAGAAGAGAGACGAAGATGAAGGGTTGCTCCGCCCCATTATTTTAAACAATATTAGTGAAAAAGAATTTAACAAAAAAAAACTAAACCACCACCACTAAAACAATTGATAATATTTAGTTAGACTCGGTTAATTAACATCAAAATGACAATCAAATTTGGATTATCTTAATATCCCAGCTCTCTCTCTCTCTCTCTCATCTTCCTTCCAAATCCAATGTTTCTGCTATACCCACCATTTTAAGTCAAACACAATTATATCAGTCGCTTCCCTCTCCAGGACCTCTCTTTTGATGCTCTTTTGTCACCAAGGGCTGTCGAATCTTTAACAACTCATAGAAGATTGTTACATGTTTCAAAATTTACAAGTATTTCAAGAGGTTAATGTTTTTGATCTGATTAAATGCAATTGAAGAACCTAATTTTCGTTAATTGATACGAAGCAGCAAGCCAAAAATGATAGTGTTCATGGGATTTAGAGTAGTTAGTTGGGTAGTTGGTGGAAGTTGATGAGTTAAGTCTGATTATGAGTTTGGCAACTCAATGGAGGAACTTCAATTTAGGATAAGATGATGATGGAGGGATCCGATAACTGGAATTCAAGACTGCTCAACCGTTTCATCCTTTGCCTGCTCATATCTTTCCAATCAGCTTGTGGTCAAGAAGGTTAGTATGTGAATTTTTTTTATTTCTTAACATTAGTCCTAATTATTGTTACAAAGGTCTCAATAGGGTTAATTGTAACTATTTAATGCAATACAAATCTCAACCATATTTGGATCTTAATCTTGAAATCAAGGTCAATATTATGTTCACCTATGTTTGTAGGTGTAAATGTTATGTATAGCTTTTGGGTAATTTTTGAAACTGTTCTGCATATAACTCTGCCTATATACTATGATCAGATCTTCAATTAAACAGTTAAAACAGATTAATATCGTTAAGGGTTTTCTTTCTTTAGCCTAACAATAATGATCAACAACAGACAAAATATCATAATCACAAGTATCCGGTTGGTTAGATCAATCTGATGATTACCTAGATCCATGTGATGATTATAGTGTTCAATGATATGCAGATCTTCTTTGTAGATGATTAGAATACACAAAAGTGTTTTAAGTTGTCAACAATCAATGGTAATCCCAAAATGTTCTATTCTTATTATTGTTAAATGTAATTTTATGCAGGCTTTGTCAGTATACAGTGTTGTGGTGATTTGAATTTTACAGATTCAAAAACCAATATAAGTTGGAAAACGGACAGTGATTGGTACCCAGATAGATTCACCTGCCAAGACATAGTCAGGCCAGTGAAAAACGATACAGGCTATAACAAGGCTCGGTTTTTCAATTCACGGTTTGGCAACAAATGGTGTTATAACTTAACAACAGTAAAGAATCAAGATTATCTGATAAGGGGTACATTCCGTTATGGAGATCTGCTGGGGATACCTCCAGGCTCCTCCTTTAATGTTTTGATCGGTGTTACACCGATAGGGACCGTGAACTCAGTGTATGAGACAGAAGTGGAGGCAATTTTTCGAGCTACCAATGACAACACGAACTTCTGCTTAGAGAAGGGAAAGGGATATCCTTACATTTCGAAGCTTGAACTAAGGACTTTGAATAATTCTGATTATTTCCAGCTGGAGCCCTCCGGTGTTCTGAAATTGATTGACAGATTTGGTGTCGGGAGTGATGGGCAGAAGATCAGGTATGCTACTCTGTTCACAGCAAAAGAAAGAAAATAAGAAGACACATGGATAAGCTAAGAGTTTTTTTTCTGAAGATAAAATATAAAATACCGAACATGACTTCATCGTATCTACTACACACAAACATATATAACATAGAATATATACATACAAGCATATATTGTTAAAGATTGAGAACCCTTTTCCGTGTTTAACATTTGCAATCTCAGGTATCCATATGATCTATATGATCGAATCTGGGGAAAGGAGTTGAATCGCAGCCAAACAGCCAACCAGATATTATCATCGACCGCCAATATCACCAATGCTAACATAACAGCACCTTCTCCTCCTATCAAAGTGCTAAAAACAGCTCTAACCCATCCAGATCATTTAGAGTTCCTGCACGATGACCTTGTTACGGAGCAGACCAATTACAATCTCCACCTATACTTTCTCGAGCTCAATGATTCTGTTCAAGCCGGGGAAAGGGTGTTCGATGTATACATCAACAATGAGAAAAGCAAAGAGATTGATATATTGGCTGGCGAGTCTAATTACAAAGCAGTCATTTTGAAATTCACTGCAAATGGGTTTCTTAATCTGACCTTGGTCAAGGCATCAAATGGGTCCCTGTTTGGCCCAATTATTAATGCTTATGAGATCTTGCAGGTGCACCCATGGGTTCAAGGGACTGCCCAAGCAGATAGTAAGTTACCATGTATTTCTCACACCTGGATTTACATTCCACTTGTTTACTTTGTGATACTATTGAACAGCTCTCTCTCTCTCTCCACAGTGGATGCGATTTTCGAGGTTAGGAATGAGTTACTGGCTAGTAACCAAGACAACGAGATCTTGAAGGCTTGGTCAGGAGACCCTTGTCTTCCTCTTCCCTGGCATCGTCTGTATTGTGAACCCATCAATAAGTCCCTAGTCATCACTACATTGTGAGTTGCGCCTCCTCTTTCTGAACTCCTGGCAGTTGGGTTTATATGGAACGCGATTTATTAATCTGTTTTGTTTCTCCATTCCCAAAACTCCCTTTTCAGGAACCTTTCTTTCAGCAAACTCCAAGGACCGCTTCCTTGCAATATCACTATGTTGACCCATCTAAAGGAATTGTATGATTCACAACTCTATTTATTGTTGTCAATATGATTTAAGTTGTCCAAGTTGTGTTGAACTACATGTAGCTCATTACTTGCTTGTGACATGCAGGAACATCAGCAACAACGACTTCATTGACACCATCCCAGAATTCCCAGTTTCTTCCATGTTGACATCAGTGTAATTTATTCTCCCTAAATCAATGTAGTTCACAATTAGTTAAGCCATTTAGTTCCACCAAATCTGCCATTTTAATCTTAATTTACAAAATGTTGAGGAACCTAAAAGGATATGTTGTAGACAATCAACCAGCTAGAATTTTTAAACCATTTCGTAGTCAGATTCTATAGCATTACATTCATCTAACTCTACATACAAATAGTATAATCTCAAACTCAGAAACATTGTATAAAAACAGTCAATATCTATACTTTATATATGCATACAGCCAAATCCTTCTATTCATATTGTTAAAGGGCAGCCAAATCCAACATTGCAGACTCAAAAATCTGTGCAATGCAAGTGCACCAACGTACACAATGCATTCAAAACCTGAGTAACCAAAAGCATATATGCTCAGCATTTTCAAGTTCTGCTATTCTTCTCCACCACATTTTCTACCTACAACTCGTCATGAAATTCACGATTTCAATAGTATAAATAAGATAACATTCATGTTTTGATTGTTGTTTCATTTGCATTAATGTATCAGGGATCTAAGCCACAATGATCTCATGGGGAAGATTCCAGAATCTCTTACCTCACTTCCATATTTGAGAATATTGTAAGTTATTTCAATACTTCTGTTTTACCATTATAGATAAAGTAGAAAGATATTATGCAAGAGAAAGGAGGGGGGAGGGGAGGAAAGTCTTCCTTTATTCACCACCGCATCAACTTCAGCCGTTATGTGTTTCCTCAGGTATTTTGGATGCAATCCTCACTTCAGTAAAGAAATTCCTACCAGCCTTGACAGTTCAAGACTTACAACAGAGTATGAAACTTATTCCTCCAAATGCAACAGCAATTTATGCCTCCATGATAAAGGGGAGAATCTGATTTTCTTTTCTTTATTATTTTGTTATTATTTTTTCAAATCTCTATGTTTCAGCAAAGGGATATGTGGTTCTCAAGGATCCTCACATTCGGTACAGCGAATAATCATAGGCACAGTTGCAGCTGGATTGTTCTTAGTCATGGTTGCAGTTGCAATTTTCTTTGTTTGCTTCTACAAACAAAAATTAAAGACTAGGGGAAAATTCAACAGCAAAGGAAACCCAATGACAAAGAGTGAGTGCACAAGTCTCTCCTTTCCTCTAGGATCTCCTAATTATACCTATAGGGTCCTAGAAGAAATCACGTGCATTATGAATTCAGAATCATAATCTGTGCTAGAAGAAATCACATTCATTATGAATTCAGAATCATAATCTGATTTTTCTCATTGTAGGTTGACAATCTCATAACTGTAATTTCCATATCTATACACTCAACTTTCAAAACAACTAAAGAGTTTCATAGACATTTTCAACAAGTATTAGCTTACTCATTTATTGTGTTCTGATATTTTGTACGTTCAATTATTTGTTATGGTTTCTCAATGAAATTCTCCTAAATTGCAGATGTAATATTTTCTATGCCCAGCATGGATGATATTGTTGTGAAGTCAATATCCATAGAGAGTTTTACTTTGGCATCTATAGAAACTGCCACCCAAAACTACAAAACTTTGATAGGTGAAGGTGGCTTTGGATCCGTTTATCGTGGTACTCTACTTGATGGTCAGGAAGTGGCAGTAAAGGTCCGTTCAGCCACTTCAACTCAGGGAACTCGTGAATTTGATAACGAGGTAAAGTACTATATCACTTTATTGCATACATACATTTGAAACTCACTTCCTGTTGAATGTTCATATCTACTCTCTCCAAGTTAACATTTACCTAAAAATTCCATAAAGGTATTCTTCACATGGTTCATGGAAATGCCAAGTATCATTAGATCTTTTACATTTTTACCTGTTCCATGATAAGTTCCCCAACCATTCTGGCAACAACTTAAGCTACTGTAATCACAATTATGTTTTTATCATACTTGGTTCACTAGTCCATGTTGAATTTTTTTTCTATTTTCATCAAAAAAGGAAATAAAATAATGTTGTATTTTTGCACTTTTTCTTATCAATAGTTTTTTCTGTTTCCATGATTACAATCTGTTAAAACTGAAATATGTTCAGCAGTTTTACCTGTTTCACAAGACGACTGACAGTTGTTATCAATGCATTTTACAGCTGAACCTGCTATCTGCTATTCGGCACGAAAATTTGGTCCAGCTCCTTGGATGCTGCTGTGAAAATGACCAACAAATTCTTGTTTATCCCTTTATGTCTAACGGCTCTCTACAGGATCGCCTTTATGGTACTCCTTGTCCAAATCTGAAGCTCTTCAAGTACATCTTTTTTAATGCTCATTATTTATCCTTCACCAATTTTTTAACAGGGGAGGCAGCAAAACGAAAAACGCTGGACTGGCCAACCAGACTTTCCATTTCTCTCGGTGCTGCTCGAGGCAAGTAATATGCGATCTGTAGCATTCATGGATTTGGTTATATTCTAGTCTATCAGAACTAAATGGAATGGACACGGCAAGAATTTATTCATTTTTTCATTTATTTCTTTGGACACAAGAGAAAGGGTAATGCTAGGGATACAAAATTTTCTACCAAATGAATGATCAAACGTCTCACATGAGTGTTGGGTCCACTTTTTTATGGACCCCACACCCATGTGAGATATTTGGTCATTCATTTGGTAGAAAATTTGGGACCTATAGCATTTTCCCAAGAGAAAACCTAATGTCCCAAACAAATAAGGGGGAAAACATTAAATGGACTTCAACTATGACATTATTTGGTATGAACTTAGCATCCAACATTCTAGTTCAAATTAATAAATAAATAATATCAGCAACATTTGAAGCATGGAAGAGAACTGAATACAGGCAAGCAGCGATAGAGTTTGACAAAATGCAACTTGTAATTTACGAGAATTTAATTTAATACAATTTACAAAGTCACAAAAGCATTTTTAGATGCGCACGAAGTAAAACTTTTAGAGAAACAAAGAGTTGAAGAGAAATTAATAAAAAGTAAAGATACTTGGAGAAAATACTTTAATGCAAAATGCCTATCACAAAGAAAAAAGGGAAATGTCAATGTAGAACCATGATCAACATATATAGCATTTTTTTTTTCCTAATATTAGAGGAATCATTATTTCTGCCCAGGATTGTGTAGTCTTTTTTTGTAGCCTTCAGAAAGACTTGCACACTAGCTTAACCCAAAAATATATATATATATATACGATCTGTTATAGAGAAACCCTGGATATGTCAGTCAAGCTTTCACAAATGTTGCAGGAAGATAAGCCATGAACCTGTTTTGTGCCTTTAGTGGACAAGATAAGTCATCAATTTTCTTGATGGAGGACACCAGGGAAGCTCACAAGTGTGTAAGCACACATCTCTAATCCCCTAGTATGTAGATATGGTTGAACAGTTTCTACAACACCCTGAAGTTGATAGTGAAAGTCTTGGTCAAGTATAGGATACACGGTAAGATGAAATCATTAACGTTGACCTTATTGATATGGAAAAATATGTTAAGCCCTTAGGATGGAAGGAGCTCACTTTTATGGTATTTGGGAAGTGATTACAGTAAGGTACGAATATAGATTAGAACAACAGATCATAGCATCTCTGATTCACAGGTGGCTGCAGGGCACAGATTGTGTGTCAAGGATACTAGTGTTTCTGGGAATGGAAGATGGTGTCAGCAAATATTGGCAATGATCCTAACTTGACAGAGGATGAAGATTGGTGAGAAACTTCAAGTTAAGAAAAATTAGATACAAAAAGATTAATGAAGGCCATTGAATCTTCATCAGCCCAAAATTGAAGGAGTGATCTCACGAGAACTGGCCTACGGAGATGATGAGCTGCACCTGCATCTAAGCCACCTTTAGAAAGTGAACATAGGGAGGTATATCATTGACATAGATCTAAGAATACTATGTATAACTCGATTAGTGCTGTTCAATCCTGGTCCAACAGGAAGTCCCACCTAGTGTTTTGTTGATCATCTCATATGATAATTGTTTAGTTAATTCCACAGAAATTTGATCATTAATTCTTTCTTCTTCTAAGCAGTTTCACTTTTCAGGTTTGCTGTATCTTCACACATATGCTGGGCGCTGTGTCATACATAGGGATGTAAAATCAAGCAACATACTCCTAGATCATAGCATGTGTGCCAAGGTGGCAGACTTCGGTTTTTCAAAATATGCTCCTCAAGAAGGGGATAGTGGTGCTTCTCTAGAAGTAAGGGGGACAGCCGGCTACCTGGATCCAGAGTAAGGACCAATGTCTTTTTACGCACATACTTGATTTCAACTTCCATACCGTGCTTTACGCTTAGACTACAGAGTCCGTGGATCCACTATTTTACCAAACAAATGTATGTTCACCATTCATGTAGTAAATTGCACATGGATATAAATTCTAAGCAGACCATTACCAAAAAGCTTCTATTGTAATTCACCATTCATGTAGTAAAATGCACATGGATATAAATCCTAAGCAGATCATTACCAAAAAGCTCCTATTTTAGCAATTCTGTTATCTTCATCACCCCCTAATGCTCATTTCAGGCATATTCGAATGCATTATAACCTCAAAAATATTCACCATCTCTCTAAATATCATGTGCTTGTATTGTTCAGGTACTATTCTACCCAGCATTTATCTGCAAAAAGTGATGTTTTCAGCTTTGGTGTTGTTCTACTTGAAATAATAAGTGGTCGAGAGCCTCTCAACATCCACAGGCCACGCAATGAATGGAGCTTGGTTGAATGGGTATGGATCAATATGTTTCTAACTACTACGAAGTTGACAGTCAAAATGTTGCTCTTTTGTGTGCCACATCTAACGACACAAGCATGCAAGTCTTTCACACCTCAATTTAAAATTTGAATTATTGATTTTTCACTGCATAACTTCCTCATTTCCTAGGCCAGAAACTAAAAACTTGGCTAACAGCAAAATCAACAATCAACATAAAATCAGCTAGTTGGTCTGACATGCATATAAAGTTCTCTTTAGTTCAGACTTTCTTCGTTTACCTTGAAATTGCATTCCCATCCTGGAAAACCAAGTTGACGCAACTCAAAGATTTACCGCTCTCTCTCTCTCTCTAGAAGTAAAATTTTGGTGCCTTCTTTATTGTTATCATCTTGCTTGCTTTTTTCTTTTAAAAATAAATAAATAAATAAATAAAAGGAAGAAGAAGAAGAAAAAGATAAGAGGTGAAATTTTGGCTGTTTCATCATATTACAAAACAGTAGAGGCCCAGTCACCTGTTTCCATTCTTTCTTCCTATTCTGGTCCTGGCCTTGCATGCATATTGGGTTGGCAAAACACAAAAGAATACGAAATCGCAAACCGTTTGTAGGATATAGTTTTAGCAGTAAGGAAACTAAGGCATAACATGTCTATATTAGCTACTTATTCTAGAAATTTTTATTTTGTTTTTTTCTTGATCATTATATAATTTTTTTAAAAATTTTGTTTAATTTCTTCGAAGGAATATAACTAACAAAAAAGCACCTTTTGCATACAGGCAAAACCATATATAAGGAATTCAAGAATTGATGAAATTGTGGATCCTAGCATAAAGGGAGGGTACCATGCAGAGGCCATGTGGAGAGTAGTGGAGGTGGCACTAGCATGTATTGAGCCCTTCTCTGCTTATCGACCATGCATGGCTGACATTGTACGGGAGCTGGAGGATGCTTTGATCATAGAGAACAATGCATCTGAATATATGAAGTCCATAGACAGCTTTGGAGGATCTAATCGATTCTCCATAGAGAGGACATCTGTTCTTCCAGTTCCATCGACTCCAACACCAACGGAGCCATCACCCATCCTTTCGCAACCAGCTCCACCACAACCCAGATAATTATTTGGGTGGATGAGGTTTCCTTTAATTCCAAGTGATGTTCAGTTTAGTCACATCACATGATCGATAGCAAGAAAAAGTGAGGTTGAACCCTCAATGCTCTCTTATAAGATATATTAAAGCAACTTGACGTCGATTCAATTTTTCTAAGCCAAACAGACTCCAGCAACAGCTGTAATGCTTAGGCACTATATTACCTAATTTTCTCATTATTATTATACGGAGGCGAGATCACTGAAAATCGGTGCCTCATGACTTGTAATCACTTCGGGGCAGTCAGAACACACAGGCAACAGCAATCAGTCATCCAGTTGAGCTGATATTTAGAAAGAACTGAAGGTGTCACAAATTGTAGGCCCAGCAGAAAAGAGAGAAGAAATGATTTCTGAATTGTGAACTTGCATCACTAAAGTTCAACCAAGGAATCGATAAACAGATGGTACAAAAATATACTAGCTTTACTTGAATGATATTCTTAATATCACACACTCACACAGTGAAAGATGGCACAATGAAGTCCATATTGAAGCTCCTTCACTGAAGCAGGCTCTTAAATTGATAATGTTGTTTAGTGGCATTCTAGGTGAAGAGAAATCGGAGGCCCTTGACTTCATAAAGGAATGTGAGAGGGGTATGTGTGCAATGAACATGAACTATTAGTAGGAAAAACTCAAGATGTTTGACTATCATATTAAATTTTTCAAAAAATTGATACAAGAGGTCGCAATGGCATTATCAAATGAAACTTGATCTGACGTAACAGTTCAGAAAATTTGCCAATTTGTATAAAATTCTCAAGTAAAGCCCAAAAGAAAATAATGAACACGGAGATATCTAAACCATGACCCATTTACTTTCTTTAAAAACATAAAATTAGAATGCTCTTTTTGAGTTCAGATTGTCCCTTAATTTTCACCAAAGCAATTGAGAAATGAGCATCCAGAGCACCATTTTGCATTACTTTCCTCGAGACAAGGATTGCTTAAATACAGGATATCAAGAGATGTTTCCCAAGAAGAAAGAACCAAATTAGATTAGTCAATAAATTTGTGAACCTCACAATCTAAGAGGATCAAATTACACCCAACAACTTGACACACTCATTTAGTTGTCCCCTTTAATTTGGATGGGCTGGCTATAAACACTTCACATTGCATGAACAACTAGAAATTTTATCAGAACTTCACATCACATCTCAAATTAGAAATTTTCTATTAAATTCTACATTAGCAAAATTAAAATCTTTTTTTTTTCTTCTTCTTATTTTTGGCTCAATAGAAAAACTAAAAATGGTCAATCGTCATCGAATGTGATGAGGTTCCCCATTTACTTAGGAGATGAAATTTCAGTTAAAATGCCATAGCAAGTATAACTAAAGAGAAAACGAACAGATCTGTGAAGCACATCTCAAACCAAAAAGAAAGATAAGTGATGTTATAGAAATCAAAGTCAGCAAAAAAGAACTATATAGATGAATGAATGACTGAACAACAGTAATGTCATTAACATCAACGAACAGAGACTAATATATATCTTTAAAAAAATTAAAAAAAAAAAAAAACCTAATGCATAAGCTATCACTTGAAGGCCTGTATCATGATTTATAGAAATGCATTCGCTCATTCCGAGAAGAGAAAAGATGATTGAATTATATTTGTAACAAGATCTGAGAGAGAGCGAGAGAGATTCGAATGTATTACCCAATTGAAGTAGGAAGTGGAAGAGACGACGGAGATTGAGAGAGAGCGAGAGAGTCTTGCCTCGTGTTACTGGGCTTGATAAGTATTTTTTTGTTCTGTTTTTATTTTTAGTTATTTTTAATTTATTTTTAAATTAAAAAAATATATTTTAAATTTTAGTTATTTTTAATTTATTTTTAAATAAAAAAAAGATATTTTAAATTTTACTTGATAGATGGACTTCAAAAAAACCAAAAAACAAAAACAAAACAAATCAATAAAGACAAAAAAACAAATATAAAAAAATTATTTTTTTTAGTACATTTTGTTATTTAACTTAAATCCTTTTACATTAGGACTCGGAAAGTAAATTTTTTCAATACATTTTAAAAAAAAAATCACTAAAAATAAAATAAAATATAAAAAAGTAACTATTTTAATCGTTGCTCAACAAAGCCTAAATCATATTTTTATTAATAATTTGATGTAGTGGTCGAGAATCTTCCAAAGCAAACTCGAAGAAATTATGATAATGTCTTCTCTAACCATATATTTTAGCAATCAAATATTTATGATATTTATACATTTTCAACACCGAACAGTTTGTTTCTAATCCTTAATCAGATTGGACAGTATTATTCTGTTTGTGAGTGCTCATCACGGGTCTCGTTCTAATAATCTGAACCATTCAATGTATAGAACTAGTCGAGTATTATATGCTTATAAAAAATCACATTGATCGGATATCCATAACTATGTGATCCGATTAGTTTTGTATAAAAAAAATAAAAGATGAACAAATTAACGATTGACAAAAAAACTAATAAGATGAGATAACTATCAATATTCGAATGATTTTTTACAGGTATATATTACTCGACGAATTTTACATATTGAATATTTTAAATTATCAAAATAAAACCTTTAATATATCTTTATAAATAGAATAATACCGTCTAATCCGATTAAAAACCCGAGCCAAGTGCTCCGTTTTCAATAAAAGAGATTTTGTGTACATATGTTGACAACATATAAACGCGTTGACGAGTCTCCTGTTAAAAATAGATAATTGAATAATATGCCCAACTATGTAACATTTTGCGCAGTGCACATCTCCATAATAATAGACATTTTATCTACGTAAATATATATTCTGTTTTACCTATTAATTATTTTATATTTTTATTCTAATCATACTTTTTATTTTAACTATTCATGCAAATACTATTCAACTTACTTATTTTCATTTTTCAAAAAATATTTTTTAAAAAATTATACTTTTTTATTTTTCATATTTTTTTGTTTTTATTAAATTTTTTTAATATTTTAAATAATTTTTTTACTTTTTAGACACACCTAACATAAATACACCTAAAAAATAAAAAAATTATAAAAAAAATCTTTTAAAAATTCACTAAATACCAAAAATATAAAAAAAATACAAAAATTCAGTACATTTTTTTATATTTTTATGTATTTATTAATTTTTAAAATATTTTTTCATAAATTTTTTACTTTTTAGATACATCTAACTAAGGTGCATCTAAAAAAGTAAAAAAATGTTTAAAATTTAAAAAATATTCACTAAAAACAAAAGAATACAAAAACTAAAAAAACTCAATTTTCAAAAAACTTAATTCAGAAAACTCAAACCAAACACACTCATTAACTTTATAAAGGTCACATCTAACAACAAAAATAAAGAGAAATGTTCCTAATGATTTAAGTTTCGTTTGGCATTGATTAATATAACCAACTTTTTTGTATTAAGACTTTTTAACATAACTTTTTTAATCTCGTTTGGTTTGGATTTTTTTGACCTTTTTTAAACTTTTTTAACTTTTGTGAAAGAAAAAAATATAATGATTATAAGTTGGATGTAATATTTTATCTTATTAGCTTATTTAGCCTATTTTGTCATTTTATACTTTTTTTAACCCCAAAATGATAGTTAAATCAGGGGCTAAATACATTTTACAAGCTACATATAGCTAATAAATGTGAATTGAGCTAAAATGTCTAATCATTGAAATTGAAAAAAATGAATCATACTAGACATTTTAACTAACAAACATATAAGATTTTCATTTTATATGCCTAATGAGTTGGAGATACAATTACTCATTAACAAAAGGGTCGTCATTTTATAGTTTGCTTATTCTTTTGGTATCCATCTTTACTATTTCTTTGTTCACCACCAGCTTTTAAAAACTAGTAGAGAGTAACTCATCAATGCTGAAATTAATTGCTAGCAAGAAAGCTAGTTTTTGTGCACTAGTTGCCAAAACATCCTCTACAATGGATGGAGGCAGTTGGATATCCAATTTAGCCTATCTGTAATGAACTATGAAGTAAAAATACCAACTGGGGCTAGCCTACTTGGCCATAACCTTTGCCTGTCGTTAGGAGGTTAGGTGTTCAAGTTATGACTCTCTAAACTCCCCCCTCCCGTAGGCTTCGGCCTCCACTATATCAAAAAATAGAAAAAAGTGAACTATGAAACAAATATTAGGGAAGGTTTTCAGAGCTTCATGGTGAATTCGTCATTGACATTTTAAACAGAGGCTGAGACTTCCAATAGCCCATTGTGTCTGAGCAGTGCTTCCGGAGAAGGTTCACGCCCTCGGAATTCCACAAAAACCTAGACAAAGCAAGTTAAGAACAACAGGCTAAGTTGAAGAATAAGGGAGTTATGCACCAGTGAGAAAATTAATGGAGCATAGAGACGCTAGCAAAGAGCTTGGTCCATTGAATATTTATTCCATTGAGTAAATACAGAACTTCATAAAGAAAAATATGATGTCATCATATCTAACCTCTAATGGTGCTTTTCCACCTCCGAGAGCAAGTACAGTATCTCGGAACCTGTGCCCTGTTTCCTTGACAGCCTGTTGCAAGATGGAGAACCCACCCTTAATGATCATATTTGAAATATATGCCTTCATACCGTGGAAGTTCAAATATTGAGAAACAAGTGAATCAGAGCTGCAGACCAGCAATATAACAAAATGCATACAATGTTCACAGACCACATCATTGAAGTATCAGCGGATTTGAGATGAATTCGTGGGCTGCCTACAAACTCTTGAGAAAACTGAAGGGAGCCTAGCATCTTAAAGAATTACATGACAAGAAGGCACTAACTTTCTTGTGCCACAAACACAAATCTCGTCAGCTCCTACCCAAATCTTGTCAGCTCTTTTCTCTTATGCTCTCAACTCCATACAAGGTCTTGAAATATCAGCAGACCTCCTCATTCCAATCATTAACCAAACTTGAAAGCAATCATCTCAAACCACCATCAGCCACTATGGCAAATCTATGATTCAACAAAGCCACAGATACAAAAGTCCTTTCTTGCTATTTAGTAATGCAAGTATGCATGGATGCACACACACTCACAAATGATCCATTTTAATTGCAACACATAAGAAAATGGATAATTGATAATTGATGGAACAAACAAAAAAAAAAAGGGTGGGTTAGAAAATTGTAGATTTATTGTCTAACAATTAATTTCAATTATACATCTCTGTAATTATTTCAGTGATGGCTCCATTTCCAAGATGAAAAATTGTCTAGTCAAGTGTAAGGGACACTGATTAAATCCTTCAGAAGGGGTCCAAATGCACAACCATTTTATCAAAAGAAGAATATGGAATGGTACAGAAATCAGTCATGCCAAAAAATTAATTCTAGAAGTCTTCCTTATACAACAAATTTGCATGATATAGGAACTGATTGAAAAATAAAGGCTGTAGAAAGGCACTGCTTTTCAACAGCTATAGGCAAATATAAACAAGAAAATAAAATTATTTGAGAAATTCATACCTTCTCATCATTTAATCCAGCATCCTCAAATGCTGAGAAAGCATCTGCAGACAACACCTCTGCCCACTGCAAAATTTGAATGTTTGCTATCAAAAACTTTAGAGAGAAAGAGAGAGAGAGAGAGAGAGGTCATAAATGTATAAGCAATCAGAAATGACTGAGAAACAAATACCTTGTAACTGTAGTATCCAGCAGCATATCCACCTGATAATAAAAGACACCCATGGCCAAGGAACAATAAGTTACAAAATATTACCATAGAAATATCATAGCAGCTTACAGCTAAAAAAATTAGATATATTGCTCAGACACAGTGAAATTATTAGGAAGAGCAAACCTGCAAATATATGGGTAAAACCGCAAAGAAATCTGTCCTCTGGCAATGGAGGAATCACTTCTGTTCTTTTACTAACCCTCTGATCAACATCAAAGATTGATTCTGATCCGCCAGGAACATACTTGGTATGCAGCTCCAGATCAAGACATGAAAATCTCAACTACAAAACACAATAAGATGACAAGAAAAAATAATTTATTCCATGTATCCAAATGGTGTTGAATTATCAAAGGCTCTTCCTGCAAAGAAATGCACTTAATGAATTAAAAACATGCCACCTAGCACAGTCAGTCAACCTAGAAACAAAACATGGCCAAAATGAAATTCAAATTAAATCCTGGAAGTATATTAGTAGTTAAAAATTCTAAATCAGTAATACAATCCAGAAAGAAACAGACAAAAAAATAAAATTAAATTAAAAAAAATAAAAAAGCAACATGTTCCCCTGACCTGACGAAGACTTATGGAGCCTGCACGGTAAGTTCGGGCTGCAAGGAGCTTCTTATATATGTCTTCAGGGAGACTCTCTCCAGTTTCGTAGTGCTTCGCTATGCCCATCAAAGTATCCCTGCAGCACTTTGTAAAAAATTTAATGATAGTAGTAAATAATGTAGAAAATTTAATCTATAAAGAGAAATAGAGAATTGTATTATTGATTTATATTAATGTTATGGTTACAATGATTCCTATATATAGGAGAGGGTGAGTGTGTAGTAGGTGAGGAGTAGGTGAAGTGGAGGTGGTAGTGGTGTAGTGGGTTAGGTTTAGTGGAGTAAGTGAGGTGGTAGTGGTGTAGTGGGTTAGGTTCAGTGGAGTAGGTTTAAGTGGGTGAAGGTTTAGTGGAGTAGGTAAGGTGGTAGTGGTGTAGTGGGTTAGGTTTAGTCGAGTAGGTTTAAGTGGGGTGGTGTAGTGGGTTAGGTTTAGTGGAGTAGGTGAGATGGTAGTGGTGTAGTGGGTTAGGTTTAGTGGAGTAGGTGAGATGGTAGTGGTGTAGTGGGTTAGGTTTAGTGGAGTAGGTGAGATGGTAGTGGTGTAGTGGGTTAGGTTTAGTGGAGTAGGTGAGATGGTAGTGGTGTAGTGGGTTAGGTTTAGTGGAGTAGGTGAGATGGTAGTCCCATCAAAGTATCCCTGCAGCACTTTGTAAAAAATTTAATGATAGTAGTAAATAATATACCATACATTTGCAGCACTTTGTAAGACTGGAGTAAGAGAGCACACATTCCTACATCATCAGGAGTTAACATCAATTTGTTTTGTTATACATTATTTTCATTAAGACCTTGATAATACATCTTCACAGGTGACAAAAACACGGTTATAGAATTAAATGACCAGATGCAAGGATGAAGTTGTCCACTCATCCTCAAGAGAGATAGGAGTTTCCCACAAACCATAAAATATGGGATTCAAACACAGCTTTTGCACCCTTTTGTCTTGAAGTAATGCTAATAACACCAACCAATTTTATGAACAGCTCTAACCAAAAGATAAGGCAGTTGAAAGTAGACCACCAACAACCTACTACTTTAAGATTTTCCAATTGTCAATTCGTAAATAATTCTATAAATTTCATGGAGTAGCATTGACCTTTACCACTAATTCTTTGTCTAAGCAATTAACTAAAAAGGACAAATACCTAAAAAAATGTTAAATGAGATTACAGGGAAGCAACCTTACCTATGATAACACCAATTTTCCATAAATTGAGAAGGTAATTCAACAGCATCCCACTCTATGCCTCGGATACCAGCCACTAGACCCTCATCCTGTTTCGTCAGCATATGCTGAAGTGCATGACCAAACTCATGGAAGACTGTCTCAACCTGCAAATAACATCAGCAATTGACAATTTAACAAATAGCACATTGCAGTATTAAAGAAGTGAGATGCTGTCCTTGCAAAAGCCAAGCAGATACATTCCTGATTCATTCTAAAATATCTTATTTGTTCAATAATCAGTGAATCATTCCAAAAAGATCTTCCTTCTTCAACTCCAGTAAGTGCATTTGCTTTATGGCATTCATAAAAAAAATATATTATCTCGCTAAAGAAAATATGCAGAAAGATTCATGTAGCCAACCCCATTTGATGGGACTTAAGGCCTGATTTGGTTTGATTTAAAGAAAATATGCAGAAAGAAATGCAAGATAAAAGAAAAAATTACTTTAGTATATATTAGTGTCACATAGTGATTTGAGTTCAAATGGGTTTGCAACTACGCAGGCTGATACAGCATGTTAGTTATATAACGGCTGAAGAATTGCTATTCGTAGAAGGCATTTTCCAGGATGCAGTACTCAAAAACTAACATGACTACATTACTTTAGGACGGTACAAGAAAAAATTGATGTCATTAAAATTTTTACAAAATGATAACCACTTTTCACTCAAATCATTGAATTTGGAAGTAAGGAAAACCAAACCCTTTTGAATCCAGGCTTCATCACATGACTGGATTACATTCCATTTACGAAATGGGTTAGCCCCAGACCTATTTCCTTCAATCTGGTGTGCAACCTTTAAGATCCTACCACTTCTTGCTTGTTTAGACAACCACACTACAATTGTAAATGAATACTACCACACTAGACTGAAACTGCTTTTGGCTAACATAAAGCACAAACTCAAACTCTATATGATTTACATCATCTAGTGTATACTGTATGCTTCCAAAGACAATCAGGAGGTAGAAAATTCAAACTTCAGATTCGAGCTGCAAATTGAATTGGATGTATTATTTTTGTCCACTCTCACCCAAAGGCCCTCTAACTGGACCCCGGACAAGATTTATGATAAACAGCTTGAGATGTTGCTACTCCAAATCTCTGACCCAAAGGTCCTCCAACTGGGGCCCGGACAAGATTTATGATAAACAGCTTGAGATGTTGCTTGCTAGTTGTGACTCCAAATCGTTTCCACTTCCAGTCATTTTAAGAACCCAAAATTTCAGTAACTTGAGCTAAAAGCTAACGTACTTACCTCACGGAATGTCATAAGGCTTGGTTTGTCCCCCACTGGTGGCATTTGATTGCACACCATGTGAGTAACAGGCAACCTAGGTGAGCTACCATCTCGTGAAAATACACGACTTCGAGCAACAACTTCATCCATCCATGCACCTCCCCGTTTTTCAGATGGACGAGAATATGGATCAAAATAGAAGTACGCAATTGCATTGCCTGAAAAATCTTTGATACAGTAGAATCTCACAGCCTTGTCCCAAACCTAAAAGTGATAGCTTCGTAAAATTAGAATATGAAACCATCTCCTATTACAAGAAGCAACCAAGAAAAATAAAGAAAGAAATTGAAATATATTACCGGAGCTAAACCATCGGCTGGTTCAATATCAATCCCAAAGAGCATCTTTGCCAAGTTGAAAAGGCCATCCATAACTTTAGGCAATGAGAAATACGGGCGTAATTCTTCCTATATAATTTAAACCATAAAATCGTAAGTTCAGCCATGTGACACTTGGAGATACATGTTAAAATCCACAAATGCCAATAGCTCCCGTTCAACACACGCCAACCATTGCAAAGAGATACGTGTTAAAATCCACAAATGAAAGTTGTGCATGCAGTTAAAATTCAAAGCAAAACTGCTAGCAAGACAGGTCACATGGGAAACCGCAGCTTCAAATACAACACAATAGAAGTCATGAACAGAGGACCTACAATGTTATCATATGCTGGCTAAAATAGAACATGTCTAAGACCCTCAAAACATATATTCAGTGGCAAATCCAACATGCCCAAGATTGCAAGCTTTGAGGCAGAAAAAAAAAATTGCTCAAGTTACCAATGAAGATATTGGCCAGGGGAGTTGGTGGCAAGGATTGAGGAAACTGCATGGCAATCAAAGATTGTGCATGCAGTCTCAAACATGATATAGGTCATGGTGGTAGGATCTCAAACTCGAAGGGTAGTGGTCTCAAAATTAAAATAGGGTGTGGCTCAGTTCTATTGAGGGGCAGAGAAAATGGACATGGGTTGGAAGGGGCAAATGGGTTGAAACATGAAAATAATAGAAGGTTGTTGATTCTGTACTGAAGCCTGGATCAAGAAGCAAATAACTATGGATCATGACCCCAAGTATGGCTTCAAGTCAAAGAAGGTGAATACTGTCATTAGGTGCAACCATCTGGTCCTAGTCTGTGGGTCATACTTGACAGCCTGCTGGGGTTTTTAGCTCGAGATCTCGTGAGATTTCATCAAAAGTGAGTGCAGGACAAAGCAGGGACTTCACATTTCCAGTGAGACACAGACCCAGGGGTTATTTCATTGTTGTTTATAGTCCCAAAAAAAAAAAATAACTAGAAGCACAACTACTGAGGCTTGTTCAAACAGAAGCCAGACAATGGGGGCCTGAGTCAGTTGATATTGAACAAGGTAGGCGAAAGACAAACCAAGGAGTGGTGTTGGGTCGATAGTAATAGTGCTCAGGGAAGATACAAATTGTGAGCCAAAGAGGTTTTTGTAGGCGAGTGAATTTATCACAGAGCAATCAAAGGATAGGGGGAGACACAGGGATTGCACCATTTATTTTTATCTTTTACTTAGCAAAGAGGTTTAGTGTTGTTTACTTTTGTTTTGAGTGCACCAGTGTACTTGGGTTCATAAAATAGACCTTTGTCAATTTGGGCTACTCAGAGTGTTAGAAAAGTTTAGCATGAACAGGAAGTTTTTTAAGGTGTTGTCTCTTTTATTTAGCAAAATCAAACCTCATGTTTGCAACCCATGTCAGTTGCACGACTCGGTGACTCCTAACTTGTTTCATAGTTTTGGTATGTTAGAGTCTTAAGGCATGTTGGTAATGAGTCCAAGCTGGTCAAAGCAATCTCGTGTCCAACTAGAACAGACTCCTGACTAGTTAGCCTATGATAAACATCAAACAGGGTGGAAATACTAGCTTACAGGTGAGATTATGCACAAATGCATGTTCAATGTACCTATAGTGGGGTCCGATAATCATCAATAGTTTTGCTAAATAAACAGATGGACAAATAGCAATCTACAATTCATTGTTCTCCTTTCTATTGGACCATGATGCAACCTACGGTACAACAGCAAACTTACGTCCAACCAGCAGTTCCTAAAATAATAATAGGAAAAATAAAATAAACAAAACAAGCTATTGACAGACCCAACCCCTTGGTTCTCCTCTAAGATAGCATTAGTACCTCTTTCAAGAATTTTTGACTTTATAAAACCTCCTAAACACAAATTAAGCATGACAAATGTCATGGTAGCATAGTATTTCATATTTTCACTTGAGTTTTTATTAAATTTGAAGAACAAAAGAGCATAGGGTAGTAGGGTTTCACACAAGTTTGTGCTCATAATGAGAGAAAAACATAAATGAATTATAATAGCAAACCAAACTAGAGCGCGTGTCACAACAACCTTGTAAACACAAATTTCAACATAACATCGAGAGAGAGAGAGAGAGAGAGAGAGATCCAACCTCATTTATTTCATATTTTGACTCACGAAGCCTCTCACTCCAGAAGCTGATGTCCCAATGGCTCAAATCATTAGCTTCGGGGGCACCTTGAGTTCGGCAGAACTGTTTGAGGTCTTCCATATCTACAAAAATTAAAACAAAGATCAGGCTCCAAAAATATCCACCCAACTTAATGGATTTATGCTTGAAAACAGTTCTATCAAGAATAAAAAGGATTAGTAGCTAAATTCAAAAATAAAAATAAAACATTCCAGATAATTTGGACAATGGAATCTTTGAATTCACTCCAGAATAATAGTGAAACATTGCACAGATAAACTAATACAAGCATAGTTTTCATGTTTGTACCCCCACATGTAACCATAACTAAATGATTACAGCCTAAACTCTAAAAAAACAAAAGCCTATTGTTCTAGAGTTTGCAGTAAAAGGAAAGTAAAACAATTATATGCATGAACTAACAGTGAAATTCAAAAATGTTTGAGTCAGGTCATTGCATGCCATCATATATTCAAAAATTTTAGTGATGTACTAATTAAGGAAGTTTAGTGGTGTACTCAAAATGCTAAAATTTATTCTACTTTCCCTTTTTGTCTAGTCACACATTAGTTCATTTAGGATGCACAAATTATCATGAAATTGGGCCAAGCACAATACCTTGGACAGCAGCATTCCAAGAAGCACTTCGAAGCTTTTCTAGGAGCTCTTCTGCTTTATCAACAGTAGCCATTTTGGTAGCCATGCTTACCTGATAAACACCAAAGTGAGCCCACGAAAAAAGAGCATATTTTACAACATAATGTCATACCTCAGCATAATTACTGTAGCCAAGAAGCTTAGCCTTTTCCAACCTAAGCTTCAAAATTTGGTCAATAATTCCAGTATTGTCTAGATCTCCACTAGAAGCACGGGTTAAATAAGCACAATAGACTTCCTCGCGCAAAGCTCGGTTTCGAGCATGTTGCATCACAGACAAGAAACTTGGAGCATCCAAAGTAATCATCCATGGCCCATTTTCAGCTGTAGCGTTTTCATGGCCCTAGAGTAGTTGATTGACACGCATGAAGTGATTGTAGACAAGAGGAAACCAAATGAACCAGAGAAGCAACAAGAAAATATGTGCTCAGAAATCAGTGTCAAATACCTTTGATACAGCTGTTTGTGCAGCTAATCCTAGAGCAGTGGCTGGCAATCCTTCAATCTCATTCTTGTCTATTATTAATTTTTCAAACTTCTTTGTGGCATCCAAAACATTCTCCCCAAATTTTTGAGATAGTCTTGCCAACTCCTGCAAATCAGCACGTGGTGAAAGGCAAACAATTGGCAGCCAAAAACTAAGAATAAGACAAAAACCAGATTGCCAACAACTTTTATTTGGTCAAAGTAATTATTTGAACTCCTATGATATCCATCTCTTTAAAACTAATCAAAATAAAAAATATATATATAAAATGTACATCCTTTCCCTTTAAAAGAAGAAGAAAGAAGAAAGAGATAGATGCAGGTCCCCACAAAGTCTATTCGAACATCAATGAGGATCGCAAATGAATAATACTGTATTTCCCATTCATTCTTCGCTGTTATCATAAGAAAGCAATGTTAAGGTTTTCAGGTTAAATCAAGTGTAACTCACACCATACCCGAGATCTCCATTCCCTTAATAGGGCACCAAAACATTACATACAAATTGCATAAGATGAGATATGCAGGATAGACACAAACAAGGATTTCTTGCTTAGGTTCTAAAGCCCCTTCTTTTTTCAATTTAAAATGAATACTCCACACACTTGCAAATTTGTTTTGTGATGGATGGCATGAACAACTTCATTTGTGTAAATATGTCACAAAATGTAAGGAAATACCTAACATCAACCTAAATAAGTATAGTTAAGGGGATTTTAAGCTAAAAGTTTGATGGGTATATAGAATGTTCAAAGTACTTAAAAAATTAAAATAAAATAAAATAAAATAAATGAGAAGAAGAAAGATAGAAAGAAAAGAAAGTACAAAATAGCACAATGCAAATTTTCCACGTTCAATCATTGAGTAACATGAAAGCAAACCTGTTGAATTTTGTTAAATTGGTTTCTTTTATCATCTTCAAGAGAGACACCACTAAGAATTGCCTCCTTTATTGAAGCTGCACAGATACACAAATCCATGGGATGTCAAACTCAAGTATTCACTAAACCATTCAGACACAAGTACTTGGGATGTCAAACTCAAGTATACACTAAATGTTCGTGTAACATTAGATAAAAAGAACAAAACACGATGCACAGCATAAATGTTGCAAGTGGTGCAACTTCTTGCAACAAGTAGCTCAAGGAGGTTTAGTTACTTGCATTAGGAAGTCACTACCTTATATTTTGATACAAATTATGAATGCAAAAACTTCTAAACTCAACATCTGTATCTGTATGACAGGAGGAAAAATTTACCAATATACCAAGTGATGTGCAAGAAGGAAAAGCTATTTCTACTGATGCATATGTAGAAAATTCTAATTATAAAAGTAAAGGATACAATCAAAAGCACATGCAAAATATTTATCAATTGGTTCACAAAACAAGAAAAGCACTACAGAAAAATCCACAACCTTTTGAAAGAAATTATTCTTCCTATTCACAAATATCCATCTCCTTGTGCCTCTAATTGCATTCATATTTTGAGTGAAGAAGAGAAAGGAGTTGGTCATTCTACCACATAATCCCCCTTGAGAAACAAAACAATAACTTTTTATTTAAAGGGACTTGGCCACTTCTACTACATATGTGATCTCAAAACAAAAGCAAGTCCCTTTCAACTCTGGCCAAACGGAAGTGATGAAGCTTATGATGACATGGCAAAACATCCTTGTTTTGCAATATATTTGTGAACCCTATCCGAAAGACAACACACCTCTAACTAAAACCACCGATGCTCCTCCCTCAACCATTGAATTTCTACTCTTTCATAAAGGTCCATCCAAACCCAAAACCTCAATTATTGGTAGCCATGGCAAACTAAATGAAGAAGAAAATAAGAATCATACTGAACCTTAAGATGAGAATACCCCAAAAAACAACTCTAACAAATAAAGTGAAATAAAATTTGACAGAAATTGAAGATCATACCTAAAACTAAACGAAGAAAATAAGAATCATACTAAACCCCAAGATGAGAATACCCCAAAAAAACAACTATAACAAAAAAAGTGAAAATAAAATTTGATAGAAATTGAAGATCATACCTCCATGAGATAATGGGAAAATGAAATCAAAAATCAAAGCCCTAGAAGCCATAACCGAGAGAGATACCTAGGAAACCCCATACAAAACCCTAAACAAAGAAGAATCAAGGAGCAAAATACAAAAAATATAAGTAGAAGATCAAATGCAAAAATGAAAGTCAGAACACTCTAAAATGAGGACCAAAGCCCAAAAGGGATCCGATGGAGAGCCTAACCTAATCGCATGGAGCTCTAGGCTTGCATACCAAATGATGTTATTTTCCCTTGTTTTCTTTTTCCTTCTAAATCTAAAGTCAGTCTTCACTCTTCACAAATGGAGTTGGATTGTTTAAGTATAAGAATACTGCATAAACAGTTTTACAATATACAAACAAGTTTGAACCTATAACAAGAAATCTAAGTTGTTCCCTTCTTCTTTTCTTTTTTCTTTTTTTAATAAAAAAAAGGGTAAGAAGTCACCACTGTAGATGGTACAAGTTCAAAATAAGATACTTACATTCAATTATACGTTTACGAGCATCACTGAGTGCTTCCCAATCAGAAGATTCACGGATAGCTTTAAATGCATTATAAAGTGGTTTACTCTGCCCCAACTTAAGCCCAAACTCAACTCTCTCTGGCTGCAACCCAACAACTTAAAACTATAAACACCAGAACGATCAGAGAACAATAATGTGCGAATTCATTCCAAATTCTAGAACAAATAAAAGGCAAATTCATGGACAAAATGAGATTCAATTCGCAGCCAATCAACTCCAAATAAAAACCACATCATTAAATCACAACCGATTGTTGACCTAAATGTTGACTGATCAACAACACAATTTGTGGCTCAGTCTATTGTATAATTAGTTGCCGATATACAGACATCTTTATACATATATTCATAACACTAAGTACCGAAAGAGAAAGGGTTACCTGAACTTCTTCAATGGCGGAACGGAGTTGAGGATTATCTTTAACGGACTTAAGATGATTAACAGCCCCCCAAACCACCACCAACCGATCCATAATCTTCTCCAAAGGCTCAACCAGCTTCGGCCACGACGGCTCCACCGTCTTCTCCAATTCAACCAGTTCACTCCCCTACCAAACCAAATCAAATCAAAACAAAACAAGCTCAAAACACGGCACTATACATATATATATATATATATATAATCACATACATAGAGATAGAAATACATACGAGTTTCTTGAGCAAGGCACGAATCCCCGGGCGAACGTGGTTGGGCTCGATGGAATCGAAGGGCGGGAAAACGAAGTCCTTCAAGAGAGGATTGTCGTCGGCGGTTGGAAACGTCCTGGTAGAATCGGATAGGGCGGCGGAGGAGAAGGAGCGGATGGCGGCGGAAGGAGGAGGAGGAGGAGAGTTGCGGCGGAGACGAAGGCAGCGGGAGAAGGAGGAGGAGGACCAGAGGGGACAGGGAGGGCATTTGTGGAGATGTTTGGGGTAAAGGCGAAGAGGAGAGCGGCGAAAGCAGATGGGTTGGAGGAGAGGGAATTGAATGGCGCGAGAGAGAGAGATGCGAGTCGCCATGAGGAGGAAGAGGAGGATGTGGAGTAGAGAGAGAGCTCCTCCGAGTAAGCGTATGGTAGCACTAGTAGCGGTGAACTTCATTTTTCTTTTTTTGGCCTTTACTGCTGCTTGTGTAATTCAGACTGTTGATATCGGCGACAGTTACATATAGCATTACGGCGAAGCCACTAGCAAATAAAATTTAAAAATTCTGCAGTCCAGATTAAAAACATCAGAAAACAACCAGAATTTTACATCAATGCACTGTGTTTAATCTGTTTTTTTGTGAGATAAGTATTGTTTTGAAAAGTTGATTAAAAATTGATTTTTTTTTTATTTTTTTTAAAAAAATATGTGAGATAATATAATTCAAAATAAATCAAAATAAGTTAAAAGTTAATAAGTGACCCACTTCCCCAAAAAAAAAAAAAGGCCTAAATCCTAGCCTTTGAATTGGCTTTGTAGGCAAATTTTGGTGTTGCGTTCTCGGTTTATAGACCCGCTCAAGAAAATTCACCAAGGATTCTTTAGAGTGAAATTTTCCTAAAGTTTTCTAGAGTGTTATATTGTGTTGTTGAAAGAAAATTCACCAAGGATCCTCTAGAGTGAAATTTTCCTAAAATTTTCTAGAGTGTTATATTGTGTTGTTGAGATTTACTGGTAAGTCACATCAGAAAAATTGATGTGACTTGTCAGTAAATCTCAACCACACAATATAGCACTCTAGGAAACTTTAAATTAGGATCCCCTTGCTATTGTGGATTACAAAAATTAATATGTATTCTAAGGTGGAATGCTATCAAATAATAATATAAAATTGTGGAATGAAATAATTATTTTATTAAAATACTTCTTCTTCATTTTGTTTATTAAAAAGTGATCATATATATATATATATATATGTGTGTGTTGTAATTGAATTAATTATTCACTGTTATAAAATAATCCCAATGCAGCATTTTTAAAATATAGACATAATATAATATTTTCATCGTGCCTAATTTCAAAATAATAAATTTATAAACTTCATCACTTTTACCAATCACAAATTTTCACGGAAAACTACTTGAACATGATTCATGAGCATGGAATAACTTATCATTAATCAAATAGTACTTTTGTACCAACACTAGATATAAACAACGAAATAAAATAAAGCAATGAAAATATATATGATATATAATTAAAATAAATATTAATTTATGTATGTTTTTGTTCGCAAGCCTATCCAATTTAGGCTTGGATATATTTTTAGCTTGGCATGGATTATACATAGCCTGAATATTTAACTTGAGCTCATATATTTAGCAAATGAACTTTCAATCAGTCGAGCCCGAATTGTTCATAGTGAAGTTTAGTTTGCAGTCCAGTTTCAGTTACCAACACATCCTTGGACATAAGTTTGTCAAATCTTTTTTATGTTCATTGCTGCATCCTCCAATGTAGTCATACTCTTTCTGCTAAAACAATTAAGGAAAGAGTTTCCGTTGTGCATCCAATCACACCAATCATGACAGGGCAGAAAATGAAGCAGCTCTTTTTGTAATCAAAGGAAGTTTATTGATTTGCAGGGCCTCAAGTTAATATACACATACAATTTCATGGAGATGGGACACAAGGTTCTGCTGGTAATTATAGATAAAAGCTTTAAGTTCACATCCTTGACATGTTGGCCACACACTACTTTCACCATCCCCCTCCATTAACCAGTATAATCATCTGTTTTTTTCCCTTTGGTGCCTGCACCACCAGAAGATATAACCACCAGTTCAAATAATAAGCACACAAAAATAAATCATTTTGGAAGTTTTAAAAAAAAAAAAAGGGAAAAAAAAATTTAATGTATGGACATCATCCTCAAGAAAAAATGAGACTTATGCTGCAAGATCTGATTTCAACAATGAAGCATTTACCTGGTGCAGCAACATTTAATTTTTGTATTTCATGGTTTCTTTCTCAAATCCAATTGTTGGGAATTGTTTTGCAAACTCCTCAACATCATGTTTCAGGTTCGTAATCTCAGATTGGATGGGAGCACTAGACTGCATTGTTGCCAAAAAGTCTTTCAACTTCGTCCCTGGCTTACAAAAAACAGCAGACACCCCCTAGTTAGCAGTAGAATGTGTGAGTTTAGGTCACTCAGACTGTGAAATATCTAATGTTCACCAAACAAGATAAGTTCTAGGAGGAGCAGTGTATTTCTACATACAAATGGACAATATTGACGATTATTAAAATTGGGATACAATCAGTTTACAAACCTTTAGTTTCAGCCTTTATCTTCAAAGCCAACTTTACAGCAGCATCAAAAAAGTAGGCAACTTTGGCAAAATCCTCCTCCACAAATCCCCTGGAAGTAAGAGCTGGAGGTCCTGAAGCATGAGAGTTCATAAACCTTATTAGTTAAAATAGATTATTGATGTACAAATTACATTCTGATCAAGGGAGAGGACTCTACCCATCCTGATGCCACCAGGAACCATGGCAGACACATCTCCAGGAACGGTGTTTTTGTTGGCCGCAATGTGAACAGATTCCAACACCTTTTCAACTCTGGAACCATCAATACCCTGTGGAAAGGAAATCCAATCAGAAAGTGACACTTCGTCTTTTTTCATGAAAAAAATGAACAATGATATCAACTGGAAGGAGCAATATCTCTCATGCATTTTATGAGGCTATTTGAATTGTCCTATATCAGACATGTATAGTTAATCGCTTGTGATAAAGCCCTTGGGATTGGTGAAAAAGCTGCAGCTATAGTGGAATTGGACAATTTCCAAAACAGAATTTTCAATAATGAAATTCTTCAAACTACTGAAAGACTGAATTCATTTTCTTCTTTACCTTATTTTTCAAATTCACCAAAACTAAGTGGTTTTCAGTCCCACCAGAAACAAGTTCGTAACCCTTCTCCATTAAAGTCTGCAAAATTGGAGGGCCAGTTAGACTTTTCCATCAAGATGAGGGATGAGTGATGAGGGAGCACCGCGTTGATTAAAACTTCAGAAGTATAAGAATGAGAGAACGCTGTACCCATGAGAACTTAATGTAACAAGTTCTGACATGTCATTGGGCCATACCTGTGCAAACTTTGAACAATTAGTGAGAACCTGCTCTTGATAGGCTTTGTACTCCGGAGTTACAGCCTGCATTACAGTAGAATATGAGAACACAAAATTAGAGGTTCGAACAATTTATCTTCGTATGTAGGCTAAGAGTCACGAAACAAACTAGCACGCGTACTTGGAATAATTTCAAAAAGTAACCCTCTATGGGCCAACAGGAAAACATTTTTCTCTAGACTCCCAAGAATTTGCTCTGAATCATGATACAGAATAACTAAAGAGCCTCAATAAAACTACAGAGATCGCATATATACATATATGTCTACAATGATCCATTCAACAGCATGTCAAGGGCCATTAACAAAATTAGTTTGTTTGATCTAAAAACTACAACTATGAAAATAGTATTTTTTGAGTATTTTATGACCATTTTGGATCCAATATGGCTTCAAACCTTGAGAAAGCCTCATTTTGACAACTGGGCCAAAGGCAATAATCAAAAAAAATTTTTATAACCATAAATGGCTGCAATCCATAGTCATATATATTCACACCATGTAGCATATAAGTTCCAGAAAGTTTCAATGAATATTGTCCTGTCAATTTCCAACCTGTTTCAGTGCAACTGCTAAGCCGGTAATTGTGTGATTGTGTGGGCCACCTTGAAGTCCAGGAAAGACTGTCTGATTGATTTTGTCTTCATAGTCATACATCACCTTCAAGGAAAGCTAAGAGTATTAATATTTGTTTTACTTCAAACCATACTACTGCAATTTCATTAAATAAAACATAAAAATCCCCCCCAAAAAAGACAAATGAATTATAATAATGGTGCTAAAATATTTTTCTTTGTACAACTTACCTCTTGTCCTTGTTTATTAATCTCCTTCAGCCCTTTCCTGAAGAAAATCATGGCACCACGTGGCCCACGAAGTGACTTGTGGGTTGTGGTGGTCACCACATCAGCATAGTCAAAGGGAGATGGGATGACATCAGCTGCTACCAACCCACTGATGTGTGCCATATCTGCCAACATAATAGCTTTCTGCTTGTCACAGACCTGTGTAATACATAGTAAATGCAAACTTGAATTTTTTAGAGCATTCAAAGGAAATGAGATAAGCTCGGATGTCTCATTATGTTCACTAAAATATTGACTAAAATGTCGTTGATCTATCTAGTGGATTTACCTTGCGAATGCGTGCATAATCATAGAGACGTGCATAAGCACTAGCACCGGCAACTATCAGTTTTGGCCTGAAGAGTGTTGCACTTTTCTCCAGCTGCCATTTGACATTTTCAAAATCATGAAAAGCCTACTTCTAACAAACAGGTAGAGGTTACACAATTTACAAAGGCACACTTAAAATGTCAAAGTAGATAACGTGAATGATTAAAACTTGCTATTCCCTAACTGACTAGAACCTGTTGAGCTTCCCCAACAGTCTATATGCTTGCTTGTATAGGTTTTAAAAAAATGAAGTGCAGGAAATGGAAAAAGGGCCAATAACACAATTATTTGATCAAATGATTCATGCATTATGTTAAAGAAACTCTACTTTTTCCTTCCAGTATTTTCAGAGTTATGTGTGGCTCAAGCATCTCTTCCTAGTGTCATCACGATAATTTGACAAAAATAGAATAAGCAAAGGAAAACATTATGAAAAATGCTTTGATTCACATAGAAGGTGCCATAAGCATGAAAGTTGAATAGAATATGGGTCAAGGTAGCAAGGTAAGAACCACAATAATAAGCAAAGAATAAAACCTGATCATAGTCGATATAGCCAGTGCTCTCATTCAATCTGTATGGCATTGTCTCAAAAAATATTGAAACTGCAGATATCTTCTTTGTGTCAGTCTGCCCAATAGGAAAAAATGTGGGACAATGAGACTACTACCATACTATGTAACCAAGGGAGGATAATCATAAGCTGAAAACAGGAACCAGTAATTTAGCAGGAAAAACATAAAAGAAGTTCTAAGCACCTGATAGCCATGTGAAAGATGCCCACCATGAGGAAGATCAAGAGCCATGATTCTTTCGTGAGGTTTTAATAAAGCAGTGTAAACTTGAAAATTAGATGGAGACCCGGATAGGGACTGCACATTCA